ACTCGCCTCAACTCGCTTCAACTCGCCCTCGGACACCGTTGCCTCCATCTGCTCGACATCGCTCACCTGCCGCCGTCAAGTTGACCAGGCCGAACGGCCTCCCGGCAACCAGAACCTGGCAACCGGCCTCTCCGCGTCACGAGCCGACTCGTCGCCGGTTTCTGTGATGCCGGTCAGCGCTGCAGCGCCACGACACCGGGGCCAGGTCGAAATGGCGTGACCTGACGACGGACGGATGGTGCGGAGCTGCCCTGCACGCCAGAGCCATCCGAGCCGAGCTGTCCTCCTTCCTTGTGGACTGACAGACAACACGACAGGACACACAACAGGACATACAACAGGACACACGATGGGACACACAACAGAACACACGACAGGACACACAACAGATCATTCGACAGGACACACAACAGATCACACGACAGGACATACAACAGGACACACAACAGATCATACGACAGGACACACAACAGAACACACGACAGGACACAACAGATCATACGACAGGACACACAACAGATAATACGACAGAACATACAACAGGATACACAACAGATCATACGATAGGACACACAACAGAACACAAGATAGGACACACACAGATCATACAACATGACACACAACAGGACACACATCAGGACACACAACAGAACACACATCAGGACACACAACAGATCATACGACAGGACACACAACAGATCATACGACAGGACATACAACAGGACACACAACAGGACACACAACAGAACACACGACAGGACACACAACAGAACACACGATGGGACACACAACAGAACACACGACAGGACACACAACAGATCATTCGACAGGACACACAACAGATCACACGACAGGACATACAACAGGACACACAACAGATCATACGACAGGACACACGACAGGACACACAACAGATCATACGACAGGAAACACAACAGATAATACGACAGAACATACAACAGGATACACAACAGATCATACGACACGACACACAACAGAACACAAGATAGGACACACACAGTTCATACAACATGACACACAACAGGACACACATCAGGACACACAACAGAACACACAACAGATCATACGACAGGACACACAACAGATCATACGACAGGACATACAACAGGACACACAACAGGATACCAAGAGAAAGTGGCACCTTCTGCAAGCACACGCACTTGTTGTGCCTACTCCTCCCTCTCTT